AAAGAGCAGTCGAGCTCTGCTCCACAGGTAGCAGGCCAACAACCCCTCTGAGCCAAGCAGGGCAGTATATATAGTTACCCGCCACCACCACACCCACACCCACCCCCTCCCAGTACTTAGCAAGGTCGTTTGGGTGGGGTGTAGGTCGTTTGGGTGGGGTGTAGGTCCTATTGTCTTTACTAATCGCCCTGCCRTCAAAAGGATGACCTGGTAATCAGCAACAAAAATGGGAAAGAAAAATTCCCACGAAAGGAAACAAAAGGAGATCCCCATAAACCACAACACCCAAATACACATGTGCAGTTGTGGAGTTAAGGATACCTCTCTATATGTAACTTGCTGCATGCACTAACCAACACGAATTGGTGGATTTGCCAACTACAACTGAAGTAAGCTGCTGCGGCTGCTTCTTCTTCTTTACTTTTTCTTCATTTCTGTTCCCCACTTGCTTTCTTCTTTCATCAACAACTTTTCCAAATCTTATCTTCTGGAGAAGTGCATTGAATAGCAAGAACAGCAATCCTTCTTATGAATCCTGACTATTTCATCAAACTTTTAAATTTATTTTTCTCCCCATTGTTAACCAGTTATTTACTCATCTTAAGTTCATGTGTTGCAATWTTTTAATCCATGACAACTCAGTAACTTTGACAACCTTTGGATCAAAACCTTGTGAAAATGGAGAACTGCAAACAAGTGTTGGGTCCTCCAAGAAGTGTCAAAGTTTGTGAAGCAAAATTCCTTGTACCTGGCTGAACACTCTGTTTTAAGTATTCCTGTTAGAAGTATCCCTGCCACCTACCAATTCTATTATTTATAATTCTAAAAATTTGCTCACTGTGAATTAGCATTGTTATACACTACAAGTTTGTAATAATGTCCAACATCAAAACTAGACCAGATGGTGTATGTACTACTGCTGTGTGAAAGTCACATTAAAATCAAGGCTGGTTGTTGCATGAAAAAAAGCTAAGGTGTTTTTCCAGTGTTGTAGATGCCCTTCACTCCCTTAAGAGAGGACCATTGCAATTCCAGGTGCATTCACCTCAAGACCTCACACTTTTTAATATATTTTGCTAGAGAACTTCACTGCCCAAGTACTCTGATGCCACCATGTTTCAGTTGTTTTCATCTGTTGTACTCTATGCTTCACGTTCGGTGGTTCTTAACCACCACCAGAAATTGTCACTCCCTAAACACAATGCTAAAAGGAATGCACTTTAAAGCCTTCTGCTTATGAAATGTGATTTATCTGTAGGAATTTTCTGAGAACTGTATTTTGCATTTAAAATACCCTAAAAAGTTTTACACACATAGGCTGTATATTGCATGTATTTTGTCCATATATGTATCTGTATATGTGTAAAATTACTTTGTCTTTCCAAACATATTTTCTGTCTGTGTCATTTCCTCCCCTTTAGGATAGTTTACCTAATAGAGTTCTGCCTGTGACAAGTGGACAGCCCTAGAACACTTGTAGAGGTTGAAAGAGAAACCACTTTCTTTCTTTCCTTATTATCAATAGTTTATTTTGGTTATCATTCTTCTGTCACTAGTGCCTCGCAAAGGGAGAGATTTTTCTCTTTGCTCTCCTGGTCCACACTCTCTCCCTTGCCATGAGGGAGACATAAGTTGTCATCTTGAATGTACTGCTATGTAGTCAAGGCACAGGGTAATAAAATGACTTACCTGAGATGTCATCCAAGAATCAGAGGATAGTTTGGGTTGAAAGGAACTTAAATATCATCTCATTCCAACCATTCTGACATGAGGAGGGACATCTTCTAACATGGGCAAGGCCCCATCCAGACTGGCCTTGAACAATTTCAGGGATGGAACATCTGCAGCCTCTCAGGACAAACTTTTCCAGTGCCTCACCATTCAAAGTAAAGAATTTCTTCCTAATATCCAACCTAAACCTACTCTCACTCAGTTTAATTGTATTGACCCTTGTCCTATCACTACATGCTTTTGTAGAAAGTCTCTCTCCAGCTTTCTTGTAGACCTACTTCAAATACTGGAAAGTGCTATAAGGTCATCCCGGAGCCTTCTCTTCTCCAGGACAAGCAGCCACAACTCTCTCCGCCTGTCTTCATAAGAGAACTTCTTCAGCCTTCTGAACATCTTTGTGGCCATTCTCTGGACCTACTCTAACAGGTCCATGTCCTTCCTTTGCTGGGGACCCCAAAATTGGACTCAGTACTCCAAGGGGGATCTTACCAGAGAGTAACATAAGGGCAGAATCACCTCTGTCAACCTGCAGGCTACGCAGATTTTGATGCAGCCTAAGACATAATTTGTTTTCTGCACAGCATATCCAGCCTCTCATCCACCAGCACCCCTTATTCCTTCTCAGCAGGGCTGCTTATGATCTGTTTATTGCCCTGCCTGTGTGGATACCGGGGGATTGCCTTGACCCAGGTGTAACACCTTGCACTTGGTCCTGATGAATGTCATGAGGTTCACATGAGTCGACTTGTCAAGCTCCTCTGGGTCTCTCTGGGTGGCATCCCATTCTCCAGGAGTGCCAGCTGCAGCACTTAGCTTAGTATGTCATGGGGAGTACCTATGACTTCTAAAATTTAATGGAATTCTGATCAGATTCCTTTGCTGTCACTTTTCTCCAGCTAAATACATACTGTGCTGAACTGGTGTCTAATTGAGTCCCATCTAGAAAGTGGCTATTCACCCAAGCAGTTTTGCAGTTTTGTTTTGTTTTGTTTAGTTGTTTTTCCCCCTGGAGCTAGGGAAGGTGAAGAATGCTGCCAGACACTTTCTGGTATATTGGAATGATATCTGAGAAAGTTTCTTCCCTTCCCCAAAGCCTGGAGCTTTTGGCTGAAATAAAATACTGCAAAGTGGGGGAGAGAGGATGTTGGTATAGACTGCTCCTAGTAAATATCAGATGCTTCACAAAAATAATTCCTAAGCTTGCCACTTAGTTCTGTTAAAGGCATCCAGCCTGATGTATAGAAATGTATGATGAAATGGATGGGCTAAAACACTCAGTCCAACTCTGCCATCTAGTGTAAAACAAAGGGAAATATTCCCAAAAAAMCCCTATTATTTGGAGGGCAAGCTTTGGAGTGCACTCAGCTTTCTTCTGTATTTATGATTTCTGAGATTAACCCTTTCTCCCTTTCTCTTATAGAAATAAGTCCATCCCTCTTAGCAGGTTTTACTATCACAGCCTTATGAAGCTGTTTAAACTTGTTACCAACAATTCATTGCAACACTTAAAAATTTAATATTTTTTCTCTTTAGTGCATTCTGAGTCTTTGCTATAATCAGTGCGTTGCTTTGCTATGGCAAAAAAATGTTTGGTGCTTTGTTATTTGAAGAGATCTTCCTTTATTTTTTTAAGAAAGTGTCTTGGGTTGATTTTTGTGCCAATCCTGTATTCCTGTATTTCATCAGCTTGTACGCCCAATAGGTGCCTGCGCCTTTAAATGTGACCCGGAAGGGTGAGGGTGGCACGGGCAATTTAAAAGGCAGGGGCTTTTGGAGCTCGCCTTTTGCTTTTGCAGATCAGCTCTGCGCCGCAGGGGATCCTTGCTCGCTGCGTGCAGCAGAGTTGCGTTGTTGCCATGTAGCTAACTCGGGTTTATTAGCTTGGGCAGTTTTCCCTGGACAGACCCCCTCTGTGGCTCCTGTGATTCTGCTTCTGGAGCAATTTGGTGACCRGCGGGGAGAAAGCCACGCAGCTCCGTCTCGTCCCGGACTCCAGAAGAAGCCAAGCCGGCAACAGAAACACACACCATGTCCTCTGTTTCATCCACAGTGAAGAAAGGACTATAATCCAGGTTTTTGCCACTGTTACAGGAGCAGCCATGTGGGTTTTTCTTTTTGTTTCTTTTCCCGGGGACAGGAGCTAGCATCTTTTCTCCGCACCACCATGTGGTGAACGGCTATGGGGAAGGGGGCAGCGTGTGCTCCTGAGTGTTAAGTATCTAACAGTTACTTTTTGTCTGTGTCCTGTGGGCACTGTGTTTTGTTAATAAACTACTCTTTTTTTTTTCTCTTCACTTTTTT